TGAGGTGATTTTGTTCCACCCGTAGGCAGAGAACCCTATTTCTAACCTTTTGGCCATTACAGTTCTTAAGTGGTCTTCCAGTTTTGATTTCATAACCATTTTTGATTATTGAGAGGAACACTTATGTAAACTCTGCACTAAGACGGGATTTGTTCGATTCAGTTCAGCCATCTGATTTGAACTACAAAACATGGCAAGCCTATAAATTTTACGTGTTGCTTGTTGCGGTCGCGGCATTTCAAAATGGATGCTCTTGAATTTTTGAAACTTGGAACTCGTAAGTATTACGCATATCCGCACTCGTGCTAAATTTCAGCGACGGCAATGTGCAGTCCTTACCACCTCACATGTACTTGTCACTTACTTCATTTAACGTTTCGGTGACGCTTACTAGGATGGATACAATGAGAGATAAAAAGCATGAAGTTGCCAACCACATGTAAGAAGGATGCCATCGCATGATGTATTCGAGGAGGTCGCGTGTGATATGCGTTATGTTGGTACGGGCAACCTGGCAAACTTCGTTGTGTGCATGATGAGATTGATGCATCTTTGAAATGCGTTGCGATACTTAGAATAAAGTCGGAGTAAAATTTCAGAATACCTTGTGGGGAGTGCCGCATTTTTTGGAAAATCGTGTTGACTGTTCGTGGGAGCTTTCCACGCACTGACTCCGAAAACATCCATTCGCTTCAAGAGGTTATTTCCATTTCTCAGGTAATTTCCCAGTGAAGATTTATTCCTCATCGCCGGTGAAGTTTTCATTTTCTGGGGAGCCCCACAATGAAAGCCAAGGCACTCTGGGCGGTTCGCGTGGGAATGCGCAGCGATTTGGTTTTGACTGGCCGCGTTGCAAAAATACAGTGTGATTAAACTTCATCAAAATGTTTCTACTATTTTCTCCTATTCATAAGCGCTAAAAATGCATTTTGAAATACAAAAGTATAATTATGGCGGAACAGGTACACGACCCCTCAAACGAGAGTGGTGTGACTGAGAACAAAAATACCTATCCTGCCAAACCCTATAAACTACAACCAACATCTGAAAATATTTGGATCTTCCTCCGGTGTAGTTTACTGCTAATTAGTTGGCCCTTGTTATGTTCAGCAGCATTTGCATCGACGAGTGGTGACGAGGCATTTTCAGGCTAACTGTTAAGCTCAGTGGATGGATCAACACGCATGCGTGGGATTGCTATTTCGACATACTTCCTATTCACGACAGATTGCGGAAAGTGATCTCCGGTTCATACTTACAAGACGGTAAAACACAAAATTGTGGACAATACCTTCATTTTTCATCCCAAACCGATATCTACTAAACTTTCAGGTCATAACTTAAACATATGATGCTAGTCCCCGTAGAAACAAATTGAAAAGGTTAAGTGTTTCAAGTAATTTCTGAAGCAACTATTATTTGAAGCTAATTGTACAACCAGTAATCTCATGGTTTAACCGTAAAATAAAGTTATAGTCGGCTTACAAGGGACACATTGAAACTAAAGCCAGCACTACTGGGTTATTCATCCAGCATACAGTTGCCTTTGCCAGGTGATTGACGGTAATTTGTGGAAAATCGAATGGGATAGGACATTATCGAGTTAGATAAATTCATGAAACTCCAAAACCTTTCGACACTTAAACATAAACAGGAAAGAATGGAAAGTATGACAGAAGATTGCCAAGCAGTTAGAACTTAATATCAGTACAATGATAGCATAGCTGTGTTGAAAATCCTGGCACACTAATTTCAGAGAACGTCGAGAATCGTTGAAGCTTCCATCCATCCACTTGCGTATGCGTTTTGCTGATGTGTGCCAGTTAGGCTAGTCTGACACGTTACGATGAGTGATTTTAAGTTCTACCACAACAGGTGTGCTTCATCCTGCCCATTTTTCTGCTGGTATGTTATACTAGATCCATACAGATTAATGATAGGGTGACACGATCACACCAACCCACACATGCTAACTGGGGCCTGATGTAAAATATCTGAGTTAATCTTTCCCCTACTCTGGGTAATCTGGCTACACCTCATCCCGAGTAACCACTTAACGTGAGAGATATTCGTGATTTCCTGCCCGAAGAAAGCCAGTGGAGGAATTTGTTTATCATCTTGAAAGATTCGATGCAGTTATAGGTTGTGCAATCGGTATGTTCGCACATTACGGCAGTCTTATTTAGTATCTCAAATAAAGCTATTGATTCGGGGAGATCGAGTTTTGGAAGTTAAGAAGCACTGTTTTATCGGTCGCGTTTGATCTTGACGGATTGCGGTTATCAGTGAGAATGGGTGCCCGACGCAAGAGGATCAAATCTTAAGTCCATGGTCAACGTAATCCTAACCCAAGAAAGCAAACTGTTGCAGCACTTATTAACTGACACAGACCAACAAAACAAAGAAGGATCATCAATCGAGATTCCATAAGCGTCCAAACGCGGCCAAGCTGATGTTAGACGTAATCAATCACAGTGGTCAAAAGTCGCTTTTATTTGAAATATTGAGGAAGACGTTGGTGCAGTGATCGAAAAAATATTGTTGCCCGATTCACGGTATGTGTCGAATGTCCACCCGCCCGAAGTGTAGTCAGTGGCAAATTCAAAACACTGGCTACCAGCAATTACTGACGCGATTGCCAGCAGAAACGGACTTATTTTCACGGAAATCTATGAGATTGTTGAATTTATCAGTTTGTCCCTCAGGCACGTAACCCAAATCTTCACCACACTGATTTACAACGCATTTTTGAGAGTGCAGCGTCACAAATTGTTTTCGGAAAATGAAGCTTAACAGCTTGAAACCCAGAAACCCGTAGAAAAAATATGAATATCATTTTGAAAATGATTCTACTCACGAGGGGTTTTCAACATACAGCTCATGGTGTAGTGTGTAAAATACACTGAAGACAATGCAAGTTGAGTGCATCGATGCGATGGATCTTATCCCACTCGGTGATTCCTCGGATAGATTGAACCACATGGAAAATTTTCATTATCACAACTCCACCATCACATTTGACGAGAGATTTGCCATCATGATATCAATTATTTCCAACAGAAACCATTGATATTTTTGATAAAATATAATATAATCGATATTTCAAAAGGCCGTTGAAAATGTAAAATTGTCAAAAATGCAACTGAATCTTTCTTATCTTAAACTTGAAAATGATATTTTTGCACTTTCGTCTGTCTTACCATTATTTCCGCACGAGAATTTCCTAAGTTCCAAAAATCCATTGACGTTCAGTAAAACTCCGCCTCAATTTCAGGTATGTTGAATGGGTATGTTGAATAGTCTATTTCGGGTGTTGGGTTTGGTGGCTGGAGATAGTTTTCGTCCACAAGACATATTACATCGGACAGCCATCAGCTCTTTATGTTTGCACGGTTTTATTCGCCCTCTTTGGCGGTAGTGATGGGTCATATTTTACATGTTGCAAATAAGTCGTCCCAGTTTCGTTAAGTTCTCGATCTACTTGCAAACAAAAAGAGGAAGGTATATCCTCCTGTACGTTATGACATACGACCTGCCACCGTTATCCTTGGTGCCATCTTGGCTAGCCAAACGCCAGCTTAGTTGACAGCACATCTTTCCTAAGAGCAACCCCATCACACATTCATGGATACTAGATGACAGAAGTAACATCACTGCACGGCTCTCATTCTTGTCTGAAAGTCGTTGGTTTGGGACTATTCAGGCTAAGGAGGCGTGAACAAATGCACATATAGCACATGACGCAGATCGTGGAAAGTTCGATGCAACTTTTGTCAAACTGAAATAACAATGTTCTCTGATGTGGTCAATTTTCCTTGTATAACACAGTATTCCCATGATAATAGTGTGCGCTCTACCTTAAGATGTGGGCTGAAATGGTAGTTGCCGAAACTAAGTGTTCTCTCAACTAGATTGTACTCTAATAGTCGACAAAATACTATGATTCATCACTGCAAATCCGTTGGTCTTCCAATAAATCTGACGGCTTGAAGTGAACCCTATAGGTATAAAATGGCAGTAGTTCTTTATTATTGGGGATAGAAATGGCGCTATCTTTGACGTTCCACTCACCCTAGTCGGAAAATTTATGTATTATCTCCACAAGTGGTACTACGTTGGTACACATTAACAGGTGGTGAAGGGAAAACGTCAACTTCCAGAACTCTAATCTTGTTGAGGAGTTCAAGGGTAACTTCCAGAATGCGTTTATACTTCTCTCCTGGCATATTTTCTAACTGACCGAAAGCGATTTAGCAAAGGCAGGATAAGGAGAATAAGACATATCAGATGGGGGAAATTTAGATTCGTCCACCAGGTTTGCAATGACATTGCCATTATAGACAGGTTTCTCCATCCAGTTTCATGTGGTCTACAGCGTAACACCTAATCATTCAGCCGTAAACAACTCAGGAGGAGTTGTATTGGGGAAATTTACCGTGTCAGTTTATTTTTATATTATTCTCGCTCTATTTGATTTCAAGCGTTGCAATCAAGTATCATCTAAATCTTATGCTTCACATGTTGGTACACCTTATTCCACGAACCAGATACTATGCGTGCTTTTAAATTCACATTCTTTCTACTGAAATTTTCTATTTCAACCTCCTGTGAGCGGATGCACTGCGTCAAGAAAGTACGCACGATAACGCTAAGCATATGCTTACGCAAAAGCGAGTACTGAAATATCATCCAAATTTCCTATTCACGTGGTCAAGCGAAATGCAACACTTAAGGGTCTATCGGTGATTTATCCTAAATACATAATACCACTAATGTACACAGTCTGTGCCTGGAACCGGATCGAAATGTTTTACAATGTTTGTTTGCTTTTGGTGTGCCAGGAAACTGAATGCACCTTCCTAACCGTTTTTACTTTAGTGGTCTGAAGTTGTCCGACAGATGAATATTGGACAGGATTTGCCCGTGATAATTTTTTTGTGAGAAGTAAACTATGGAGATGCCCTGAGGCTAGGAGAGACACCCAATGCATAGTATCTTACCTTACACTTTTCAGTGATATTCCGTTTGATGAACACTGATCCACAGGATGTATGCAGCGAATACTAGAAAGAGTAGGCGGAAAATTCCAATTCATGTTCTCGACGTAATAATTTTCGACAGTGCTGTGGTTCGCATGAATTCACATTAACTGATAAGCGTTCCACTGAGTGAACGAAGTTTGCTTCGTTTGACTCTTTGAGAAATGGGTGGCACACCGACGGGCTACACGATTTCCAAATTTTTGTTTAGTGGTTCGGAAGGTTTCTCTTAAAGGGTTACTGTGTTGTGGTGATTAATCCACTGTCCAGTAACGACAGAGAGTCTATTCGCAACAGCAAGCGCGGAAGGCCACTTTGTTTTTGCCACCACAAGGTGACTGAGGTTCTGTAGTACTAGGAAGATGTGGATGGACAACATAGACTGCGTTTATGAGTTGATCCGAGACGGGCGCATTGGCCGCTTTTGGCGGCATTGTATTTCATCCACCAATTTTTGCTATTGGTTGAACCAGTGGTGCAAGAATAAAGTGCGTTCGAAACAGCGGTTCATCTAAGGTAAAAAAGCAAGTAAGACAAACGACATGAAGTAGCAAGCTTTGTGGAACATCAACCACAAATCAACGTCCACAATTAATCAATATTTACATAGTTCTCTTCGGAAGTTTTGGCCAGGCTGTCGTCTTATCTAACGCGGAAATTAGCCGGACTATAACTGTCAAACAGCTTCTTATTCGCACACCACAGACTCAACGTTTTATTTTGGGTAGAATCTTATAGTTCTACAAAGCCTGCTACACTATTTTGATAGATAACCTGAAAAAAAACACTATGATGCTGGAATTCTGTCAGCCTTTTTCTATTCAGAATTCATTTTGCAATAAGCATCTACAAATTTTGTGACGTGAAGAAAATCATCAGATATTTTTTCCGGAAGTCAGGCTCAGGATCATGTCCAACCTCGGTTGGGAGTTGGTCTATTGTGGTGGCAAATCATTTGTGCGTCCAAAAGCTTTCAACCGAAATCACATGAGAGCATTACTTATTGGATTATGCCCTCCCTGTGGGCACTTTAAACTGCTGCTATAAAAAACACCGCATGAAATCGTATGAGTGCTTCTAAATCCAATGCGACATTAATCCTGCTAGCAGCAGGATCAAATTTTGTGCGTCAGTTGAAAGCGATTCTGATGGGTTTTTTCATAGATACAATAAAATGAATATCTATGTGCAGCGTGCTGTGAAAAGTAATTATCTGTTTGTACTAGTGTTAATGTCCTGATACGCATTCGTCAAGGCCGTCCAATGCGCTGTTCTAGACTGTTCTAGACTTTCGTTCACAGCGCCCTGCAAAAAGTGCCACTTCCATCTCCATTCTTCGCTCCACCTAGGCAAAGCAAGTCTCAGTGTATAAGAAATTTAGACTTGGAAGCAGAAAAATTAGTGTAGAAGACTGGTGTATATATTGTTGCATCGCTGTCCGCATGCTTGAAACTGGAACTGCTAGTATAATGACGCTTGAAGAGATGTTTTGCGACCATCACTATCCGAACCACGTTGAGCCCCTAATTAGTCTGATGTTTTTTCTCGGGATTGGCCTGAACTAGTGGCTCATCAGGTCATACTATGTGCGTCCTAGTCCCTTACTCCACTTACCTTATCTATACCCATGACAGGCTGTCCTCATTTCTCCACCTTCGGTCTTCCGGTTTGAACAACCTCAAGTCTGTCCATACTTTTGACAAACGAGTATGAGGCCAATGAGATGTAGTATTGATCGTGCTAGTGTTCTCCTTTAACAACTATCTAAAGGTGTGACCCCTGATTTTTACTGACTAAGCTGAAAACACATTCAGCTTCGGTCACTTTCATGGTTACTACAGAAATTAACGCATCACTAGGTTAGCTTCCAAACATTCACAATTTACACAGACACTGCGCCTAATTAGGCTAACTGATGTTGCGCAAAACCTACCTATGAAATAACTGTTTTATCGGCTGACGTCCCGGACCGCAAAATGTCACCGTATTCCGGTTGAAGGCTTACTAGGATGGGCACTTCTCTGAGGGGTTAATTCGACGCATTCTACTTTGTTATTTCGTGCTTGTGGGTTGTTCCATTTTACCAGGAGAACAACTAGTTCCTCAATTCGAGTGATGTTACAGGTGAAACACACCTATAAGTTACTCCAACCAGTGTTACAGTTGGCTTCTTGTTAAAAGCCCAAGGTGGACGATAAAATGCGGATGAATAAACAGTACCAAAGAATATACCATTGCTTCATCCCTTCGTACAAATCTGATCAACACAGTGCACCAATAAGCCATTCACACGATGGTTTTTGTTACGGTCAAGAAAAGATCCACTAAACTCTGAACGTTTCTTGGATGGAACAGCTTTTCTATAGTATCTGCTCTCTGAGAGACCATGACATGCTTCTTCGTTAAACAGGACAAACCTATCATGTTAAGACCAATACACCAAACACAAAGTTACCATGTAAACCATGTTTTTCGCTGATAAAAATTGAGTTGTTGTTCACATTGTGGCATTATTGAGCTTTGTTAATGCGGAGTTTTGTCTATCACGTCCAAACTGACTAAAATAAATCACGTTCAGTTTCATAACTGCCCAAGGCTTCCTAACTCAAGCTCATACCTTATCTAAACCATCATTGTCACTTCATGTGGAGAATCATAAGTAGAACAGTTTAAATGGACCTTGACACCGGAAGGCAGTTGAACGTCTGAGGTTCAAGGGATCTTGTTGAGTGACCTGATGAATTTTAAACTTACCCAGCCATAAGAATCGTCGAGTGAGTAAATTCCACAATTTTCCAACACTGGTTCATTATTCGCCCTCAGCTGCATTCAGCTTCGAATGAAGACCGCGATGGGTAGCATTGATGAATCGTTTTTCCCCTCAAGAGACTGTTCAGTTATTCTGCGAACTGATTTGGACATGACGTCACGGGGAGCAGTTAGTTCATCCTGGGTCATTATGCTAGCGATTTAATTGTAAACATTAATGAAAACGGCTTTTAGGTTTTTTTCTTTCACCCTTACGGTTATTGTGATGCTTTTGGAAAGTTGGTACCATGAACTAGAGGGGTTAGCTAATAATGAGTCATAATTGTGGACTGGTTAGGAGATTTTCAGTTACGTACACCCTATTCAGAATGACTGAGGTAGAAAACATTTTGCGCTCTATGCAACATTTGTTCATATTTATCAGAGGTGAAAAAAATCCGAGACATACAGAGATCATTTGTGATTGAGAATGCTCCTGACGAAGGTTATCTGAGTTGACTGGAACATTGAATCATAAATATTTTCGCGATCCCGGTTATTTTTTCCACTGATTCCAGTGAACAAAAGCCAATCAAGCCGTCATGGTTTCAAAAAATCGTCAATAATTTATCGATCTATTTTGGCTATTTTTTGCTTCTCATATACATGTGGGTGTGCCGAGTATTAAGGTAGATGATGAAAAAGTGGGTGGAATCACCTTCGAAGAACACACTAAATATATCTGATGGTTTTGGTGTTGAGCATTGTCACTGTGTCTTACGACCAGAGGGGTTCTACTGACCCTTAACAACAGAGTTTTGCAGAGGCCCCACAGGACGTATTTGTAATTTGCAGTGTTTTGCTTCGTACATGAAACTTAATAGTCACCCATGATTGTCTCAACCATAAAACAACTGACTGTCTTGTGTTGGGATGGTTGTTTCTCCCAGCCTAGGTTAGAGTGACAACTGATTTTTGTAGTACGAAACAGGTAATCGACCATAAACTGAAACAGTACAATGGTGCGGTTGGGGGCACATGTTGTAACATTTCCCAGTAAAAGTTGCATTGCATCCACAGCAATCTACTGAACGAACCGGCATTGTTACTCCACAGATCTTTATACGAAAATTTTGCTGTGCTCTTGAAATGTTGGGTGTACGTACAAAGTTTCGTTCCTTTCAGAATCATTCTATTTCATTATTGAACGCCTGTGGAATTTTAGGTAGCAGATTTAATGGACATGAATTAAGTTTCGTGGCTTCCCTATATAATAGAGACCTGATGAGAGCGTTCCCTGAAGGGAAAGTAAACTTGTGCAACCAGTATGCTGCTTGTGATATTTCCGAGATACACCGTAAAACCAAGTGCGGAAAACCAGAGGAGGGAAAATTTCAACAAAGCGAGTAGACAAAGCAACGGTTTTATCCGTAAGAAAATAAACTACAGTAATATCTGACTAAACAATACGTATTTATTTGACTTCGGTCATTCGTGCTATTCAAGCAAACTGTCACAACCCGTCCAATTAAATTTTCTGTGTCGTATTTCTTCTTGCTACCTTTGTGGCATCTGCATTAACTAGGCATTGAGTTCCACGCATCCAGAGATGTTGCAAATCTTGTTAAAATTTTGCGTCAAAAGATAAGTCTAAGCAAAACATGGACGGTTTTAGGAGAGATTGACATAAAGTGGCGGGATAACCCAATAATCGTCACAAATTTTGCGTGGAAAATCTCATCAATGTGATCCCAAGAATGAACATGTACGATGAGTGGAAGAGAGTTTGGAAATACTTGTGAAAATATTTTCAAAATCGTTGACATCCATGAAATCATATTCACTCACATAACCATCAATTTAGATCGGGACAGAAGAAAGCTAAACGAAGTTTTATTTTGGCAACGATGACTAATCCAATTCTTTATTGCCAACAAGTCTTCAAAGTGCACTAAAGAAACCAGTCGAAATTTCTCTAAGGGAATTCTCAGCTTGCCGCTATATGTCATTATAGGCAGCTTGCTGGATTCTTCCGTAAGGCCGTTTCCTTGGAGTCGGATACATTTTTTATGTGATAGCATTCACAGCAAGCACACTTTTCTTAATTACGCTCTTATTTTGCTACGATCTCAAAAATATTCTTCTTTGGAGTATAATGTACTGGTGCGAATAGTTCGAAGTAGTGTGTACTTTCGGCGACAGAATTTCTAGCCTCTGCTGCAATGATCTAAGACGTGCTGTACTGAAAATCCGCGGGGTCATTAAAACGTGTTTGTTGAACTATTTCTTGGTACTCATAAACGCCAAAATTTGCCTACTATGAAACTAGTCAGTAGGCTGACACAGCATCATTTCGGAAGGCCACGCTCGGACATCGCCCTGGGTAATTTGATGGCTATTGTGTTTTCTCATCATCTCGGATACACCTGTAAGTCTGAACACTATAATAAGAGGGAAGCACGAACTCGGCTCTTTATACACGCTCTTTTATGCAGTCTTTTATACTCTAACATTTACCTGATTTATCTAAGTCTCAAGTGTGACGTGAAATATTTGACTAAGGCGCTATTTACACTCAGCCTCGAAGTTATTAGTAATAATATGCACGTGCAGACAAAATTTTGAACACATCTTGCGAGTCAAAAACCTTTTCAACCGACAAATTTTGCCAACCTGAGAGCATTCTCGGGTAATTTTTCTGTTTATTAGGTTGGGTATACGCAACCCCCATGTTATAATTTAAGATGACCGTGAGGCCTGTTTGTTGTCAACGCAATAAGATCACGGAATCTTTACATGTCATGGCGTTCTACCGGTTATAAAACGTAATAGCTCATGACATGGGAGTGAGGTATTTTGAGATATATAGAAGCCTTAATTTTTTGGGGAGGGGGTGTAGTCGCGTCAAGCGGCGGCTGGTAATGGACATTGTTCTGTGCTCTATTCGGGGATTCCACTATTGGAGATATAAATTGTAATGTTCAGCTTTCATGTATTGAGTTTTTTTCTCTATTTGAAACGTATCCTATTGTGTGTCTTTTTCATTACCTTTTAGGCGGTTGATTCTCTAGGTTGCCCTTGCACTTTTGGGTGACCGACTCTTGTACTTCTGCGTTGAAGGAGAAAATGGAGATTTGACTCAACCGTAATTTTGTAGTTTTGCCACATTATTTATCTACTTCCTAGTAGAACACTTTTAGTTGGATAGTACATTTGGGAAAGAGGGGAAGCGACATGAGGATCAGCTCAGGACCAGGTAATCAGACGGAACTGGTGATTATTCATATATTTTGTGGCAGGGAGCTTTGCACACGAAGGAGTTACTGCCAAAGCTTGTAATAAAGTTTCCCTATCTCAAAGGAAGAAGCTTGGCCGAAAGCATCCCCTTAGAAGTCCCCGGATCAAACAAAAACGGTACGTGGGTTCCGTCAATGATTATGTGAAACGGTTCCATACCACAGATTCTGTATGACGAATGCACATACACCGGAATATGTTTTAAACTGAGCAGCAAAACCAGGAAAAGGCAAAGCACATCACGCAGGCGAAAACCAGAGCTGGCAAAAAATCGATGTTTTATTATTGCCTGCTACGAAAATTCCGCGCCTAACTCAACCGCCTTCGCTTGCGCCGATGTAACTTGTAGCGACGGAAGGCTGACACCGGGGTTGGTCTTCTAGTTACATTGGACATCTCTTATTTGCAGCGGAGATGAAGGTCACTTGGCCCGCAACTTCACAATGAAAATGTACAAACGTGGCAGTGTGGATTCAATGCCACATCAGCAATGCTGTGGAATGTAGGTTGCTCGGGTGCGCTGTTTGGTAGTTGGTCAGTTTGCCGAGCTCAGCAGTTGGATTGCAAAAGTTTCATCACAAATCGTGGTGACATCGTCAGTGCAATGCTGAGTGGGTGAATTCTTCCTCTTCTGCCTGTGATTCTATAGCTTCTAAACAGTATCCGGTAGTTCTGGAAACGGTCGTCGTGTGGTTTGATTGGTCCCCTTTGAATCTGACGTGGTCTCAAACTCCTGTGTCTGGTTGGTTCGTTGGATGCATTCAATTCGGCAGTTCTGTATGTGGTTCTTCTGCTGTGATGCCGAATGGCTTCCACCCGACAACAACTTCACTTCCTCTACGGAGGCCATTACCACGCAGTGTATCTTACCAAACACCACTGAACCATCCTGAGGCGTGGAAGCTCGCTAGACAGAACGGTAGGCGTATGATCAGACTGATGATCACAGATGCTCACAACCGACTGGGTAAATACGAGCGGGTCCTCAACGAACAAAGAAAAACATGCCTGAGAACAGTGGGGCTCGAAATTATAGAACAACTCAGTGAAGCTATTGATCGTAGAGTACGACACACTATTGAGAAGAAGCGAGCCACACTTGAGCGCAAGTTCTACATATTTACCAAGCCAACTGAGCACACCGAAAACGAAGCATGGATCAGGAACCTCTCCAGAAGACAACTCACGGCAGCGGAAGAAAACGTGCTTAATAAATGACTTAATTTCAATTTCAAGAATGCTAGTAATCTAGAATATCTGGCCAGTCTCGAAGCGGCCTTCAAATCCAGCGACCTCAATGAAGAAACCCAGCAAGCTATACGTCAATCCATTGTCCCAGCTATCACGCGAAACAAAACACACAACGCTGTATCCACCAAAGAAAAAAAGAGCGATAAACAGCCTTAAAGCGGATGAAACCATCGTTGTTTTGCCAACTAACAAAGGCAGAATAACAGTCATTCTTAAGAAAGCCGAATACATCGACAAAGCTAACGCTCTACTCAATGACACAACCACATACCGCCGTCTGCAGAACGACCAAACCGCGAAAATTACGAACAAGATGAACAAAACCCTGAAGAAACTCAAAGATCTTCACAAAATTACAGAGAAAGAATACTGGAGAATGAAGGCTCGTCCAGGAACACCCGCGTAAATCATTTCAAGAGTACTATGGAAGCAGCTGAAATATCTAGCCAATGGGTCCGAATGTTCGATCAACAATGCGGGACATTTTCTGTAGAAATTTAAAAATGTGAGAATCGAAGAAGACGAAATAATGGTGTCCTTTGATGCAACCTCACTGTTCACATCGGTTGATTTGAATGCAGCACGGACGACGGTCGCCGAACTCCTGGACAACCGCGGCACCATCAACGGAACGCTCGGAAAAGAAGAAATATGTGAAATACCAGATCCCTGCCTGACAACCTACTTTGAGTTCAATGGAGAATATTACGAACACATCAAAGTGGCGCCAATGGGGTCACCAATCTCTGGATTGATTGCGGAAATTACAATGCAGAAACTGGAACGAATCGTACTACCAAATATCAAACCGAAAACATGGGTACGATATGTGGACGACACATTCGCTGTTATAAAGAAAAATGACCTGCCACGAGCGGAGGAACTGCTAAACAACGTGATTCCCGACGTCCAGTTCACAATGGAAACGGAGGAGAACAACAAATTGGTGTTCATAGATGTACTCGTAACAAGGACAACAAACGGCCAACTACAAACTGAAGTACACAGGAAAAAACGCATACGGACCAGATTCTGAATTACCACAGCAACCATCCGAACTGTCACAAGCGGAGCTGTGTCAGAACTCTACTCAAGCGGATAGAGACACATTGCAACACAACAGAGGCGAAGAAAATAGAAGAACGAGGACTCTTCGAAACATCCCAAATTAACGGCTACCCGAGGAATTTCATATGGAGGTGCTTACGCGACCACCACCAAGCTGATCCGTCAACACAACCAGAACAGAGGAAGATTACACTGCCGTATATCAGAAACGTGACGGAGATGACTATGTCATCTACGGCAACAGGGGATTGCAGCCACCTTGAAGCCTACAAAGAAGTTGAGAAGGACTCTCTCGAAACCGAAGGGAAGGTTGGATGCTTTGAAGAAGAGTAACGTGGTCTACAAACTTGAGTGCAACGACTACGACAAACACTATGTTGGCCAAACGGAAACAAAACGTGCTACGAGAATACACGAGCACAAGGTTGCCAGCAGAAGACATGATCCAATGTCACTCGTCTCAATTCACGAATACGGAGAAGGACACAAGTTCAATTGTGACAATGTTCAAATACTTGCACACGCAAGAACAAAACCGGAGCGAGAATTTGCCGAGGCGTGGTACTCCACACAAAAATCTATCAGTAAACACATCGACATTGACCCAGTCTATCAGCGGTTACGAGCAAAAGAACCGCAAAGTCACGGGAATCGGAGCCAAGAAACTTAACGGCCACCAACGGACTAATTGGGTCAAAGGAAGAAACTCACGAAAAACAGAAAGCCGATGAACCAACCAATCAAGTGAACAAAACCTTGAGTTTCTTCAGGGTTTTGTTTACCTTGTTCGCAAGGTTCGCTCTTTGGTCGTTCTGCAGACGGCGGTATGTGGTTGTGTCATTGAGTAGAGCGTTAGCTTTGTCGATGTATTCGGCTTTCTCCAGAATGACTGTTATTCTGCCTTTGTTAGTTGGCAAAACAACGATGGTTTCATCCGCTTTAAGGCTGTTTATCGCTCTTTTTTTCTTTGGTGGATACAGCGTTGTGTGTTTTGTTTCGCGTGATAGCTGGGACAATGGATTGACGTATAGCTTGCTGGGTTTCTTCATTGAGGTCGCTGGATTTGAAGGCCGCTTCGAGACTGGCCAGATATTCTAGATTACTAGCATTCTTGAAATTGAAATTAAGTCATTTATTAAGCACGTTTTCTTCCGCTGCCGTGAGTTGTCTTCTGGAGAGGTTCCTGATCCATGCTTCGTTTTCGGTGTGCTCAGTTGGCTTGGTAAATATGTAGAACTTGCGCTCAAGTGTGGCTCGCTTCTTCTCAATAGTGTGTCGTACTCTACGATCAATAGCTTCACTGAGTTGTTCTATAATTTCGAGCCCCACTGTTCTCAGGCATGTTTTTCTTTGTTCGTTGAGGACCCGCTCGTATTTACCCAGTCGGTTGTGAGCATCTGTGATCATCAGTCTGATCATACGCCTACCGTTCTGTCTAGCGAGCTTCCACGCCTCAGGATGGTTCAGTGGTGTTTGGTAAGATACACTGCGTGGTAATGGCCTCCGTAGAGGAAGTGAAGTTGTTGTCGGGTGGAAGCCATTCGGCATCACAGCAGAAGAACCACATACAGAACTGCCGAATTGAATGCATCCAACGAACCAACCAGACACAGGAGTTTGAGACCACGTCAGATTCAAAGGGGACCAATCAAACCACACGACGACCGTTTCCAGAACTACCGGATACTGTTTAGAAGCTATAGAATCACAGGCAGAAGAGGAAGAATTCACCCACTCAGCATTGCACTGACGATGTCACCTCGATTTGTGATGAAACTTTTGCAATCCAACTGCTGAGCTCGGCGGACAGGCCAACAATAATTGCGATATGTTCCTCCACTGGCGTGTCGGGTGTTGCGAAATTCTTGCCATCAGTGGAGTCCCAACGTAAACTGGACGATCCCTAGAGAGATAATCTTGATGATATGGAATGCCATTTTCTGAATGTAGTGGGCTTCTCCCACTATTAAAATATACCTTTTGACTGAAGGAATTATAATATCCCAGGTTTACTTTGAATTCGAGCACCTTGTACACCTTGCTGTTCCAAGACAATTCGGTTCTAAGCATAATTTTGAGGATCCAAAGCATTTTTGTCAATCTAATAAATGCTGCTAATCGTTGGAGAGGTGTAACTCACCATAGGTCTCATGTACCAGTGAAGCTTCACTGATTTACTGGAATTACCACTCTTGAACTACAAAGTAAATTTTGGCAAAAGTGAATTTTTTTAATGAAGCGCCCTACCTATTATTTCTGAGGTGGTGGTTCCCGTACAGGAAATCGTAGTGTCTAAATACAAGCTGCTGGTGACGCAGTACACTATATTCCTCTCCGCGCGTAAAAGCTGATCTAAATTCATGAACCGGAAAATGACGTACAATAATTAAATTTCCTTAAGCCTGTAACTGCATTTGTTCAGGTTTTATTTTAAAGCCATGACGATGGTGAATCAGATTTTCCAAAATACTGAACTAATGTGTTTCCTCGAGATCAAGTGCTTACAAATTTCTTCTGACAAAATTGTCAATATTGACATTTTTTGCAGAGAGATTGCATATAATGCACAGTGGACATTTTTTGCTCCAACTTTCTGCTGAGTCTATCTCGATTTCTGTGGGTTATGTGTACGGGGTTCCCACAATATCTGGGTTGCCATTTAGGCACGAAAGGAAAAGCGACATCAACCTCCGGCGAAGGATTAACAGTCATATTTGTTTATTAGCAGGCTTCTGAAAAGTGTTTTGAATATGCACCTACTTGGCAGTTGCTTGCTCTTGCGCTCCAGCATAAGAATATTTTGTTTTCATCCAGATAATTAATGAAATGTGTGTTGGTGTTTGTGTTGCTACTAAGAATCTCTGACAACCAGTAGCAGATGTTCCACACTTATGTATTGTATAGCGAATTTTTTGGACCTCCAAATCACTAACAGAACAATTTCACGAGCAAGTTGTTTAACCGTAAGGATTCAGATTAACTCAATTTAACATAATCGCCTTATCCCTTCCATCGTTCGCACGCAGATAAGCACATTCTGCAACCATAACTTGACCCCCAGTGGAACCGAAGTCATTTCAATGAGCTTGAACGCGCAATTATGTGTTAGAATTGTTATGGATTTCTGTGGTGCAGATCTTTCATCAGTTCTCTTGTTGACTGAGTTGCTTTACAAAACATGCGCGAGCGCTTCCTAATTTAGCAAATGATCTGCAATGCCAATGTGGGTTCCGGATTTTGGAGTCCAGTCGCACTGCCTGATGAAAATTCCTCCCTGCTTGAGAGTTTCCTCAAATATCGTTGTCGAAAAAAGCCGTAGTAAACTGTCCTGCCAAACAGCCAACTGATATTTGTTTTGCGCTTATTATACACATTTATAGTGTTCTCCGTAGCTGGAGCAGCCATCGTAGAAGTGTGTTGAACGTTCATTTACATTAATCATGTGCTTGATTTTGTACCAAGCTGCCAAAGTGACCGTCTTCCAACGAGTTGTCTTCTGTGGCACAGATTTACTCACGAGGTGTGAAGGAAGCTGGCATATAAAGCAACACGTCAAATCGGAACACAAGCGTACTGCACTCAGAAGAATTCCGGTCTTTGCGTTTAACCTGGGGCCTGCCGAGAGCCCATAGTTGATTTACTATATGCAGTTAAATTCTGCAATTGTACAGTTTCCATTATGCCAGTAAGACATAGTATAGGAAGCATAACTCAGGGGTATCCCATCTTTACTTCCTATGGTTCACATAACCGATGTAGAACAAAGATTGGAGCAAGTTCGCTGAAACCCCAAAGGTTATTCAAATTCGCCTCAGTCGCCTCTCCTGTTTATTCTGCTATAGCTGACACAGATTTCACACCAAGATTATGTGGCTAGAGAAGAAGTCCTAAAACACCTAACAGAATAATCCATGAGTTACCTACATTTTAAACTATCTTGAAAGTGAACAAATGTCAATAGACAAAGCTAAGGACCAAGTTTATGACCTTCAGTTAAAATTACATACTGTACTCTGATGTTAGCCGTTTTATAAGACATTTAGTACATATATATATATATATA